GTGTAGACCCGGTCAAACAAAGATTCCAAAGCCATCCACTTGACGGGCAGCAATCCACTGGTTGTTTTCACATAAAGGTCATCTTGATAGATGTCACGTGCTAAACCAAAATCCGAGATCTTCATGACGTAATTTTCTCCAACCAGGACGTTACGGGCTGCAAGATCACGATGAACGCACTGGAAATATCAAATTATAGAAGTTATTTGACAAACTGTAAATCTCAATATGCATTGATAAAAATGATGAAATTTGGATTAGAATATAAGAGATATTATAAAGATTCACCTTCCTCGAGGCCAAGAACTCCATGCCTCGAGATATCTGATAAGCTGTCATTCCTAAATCCACCAAAGTGAACTCCTGATCGGGATTATTCGAGGTTTTCACCCAGTTTGCATCGTAAATATCTCGTCTGGCACGAAGGAATGACAATAAGTCTCCATGGGGAGCGTACTCGATGATCACCAACAGTCGACGACCACGTGTACAGGCACCAAGCACGTTGACAATATTCTTGTGTTCTCCGAGATGAATAAGTATCTTTAGTTCTGAGGCCAAGTCTTTGTAGTCACTCTGGCTGGCTCCCTCTGAGGAAAAGTAAGAAGAAAGATTGATTAAACATGTACACTGTAGTATCTTTCATCTTTACGATGCATCATACGCATTTTTTAGCTTGCTCGTTCCTTTTGTTTCCTTTCCTTGCTCTTTCCTTTCTCTCTCTCTCTCTCTCTCTCTCTCTCTTTCCCTTGTCCTTTTGTTTTCTTTTTCTCTTTTCTTCATGTTACTGACAACTTTTCTAACCTTTCAGACTCTTAACTGCAACTGTTTGCTTTGCTGTTCTCATACTGCTGTATTCGTTTTTCTTTCTGCTTTCTCGCATGGATCTCCGTAGTTTTGAACGTCGTTTCAATCCATCTGGAGTTTTATCTCTGGGCTTGAAGGCTGGCATACCGATGGCTTCTGCTTTCAATACCTGTCCAAACGCTCCAGAACCAAGAGGTTTGCCAAGAATGAGTCTCTCTTCAGGGAATTCCCAGTCAAGATCGTAGGGAAGGTTGTTACATTGTTCAAGAAGACTACGGTCTGGATCAATCTGTAAGAAAAGAGCAAGAATAAATAACCAAGGCGCTAGTCTATTTTATACTCTATTCTCCTTCTACAGCCCTGCACCTTCAAAGAAAATGCCTATGTTTGTATTCTCATTGCAAATTAGCGCTTCTTCCTATTCTATTCAACTCTTCAATTTTTGAAAAACGTGCGGAAAATTGCATGCGCAAACGCGGTGTTTTCCCGCCAATTTCCCGATTAATATATTTGATGAAAGCCTGCATTTTYTTAAGAAAAAAAAACTGTTTTGTCCTCAAAAAACAACAACAAAACAAAAGAATAGCTGAAGACAAACGAACCTTGTAATCGCTGCTGCCAGTTCTCAAAAAGTATAGCTCCTTGTATTCATCTATTTGTTTTTTCTGTCTTCGATACACAATAAAGCAGATTATGCTGACGATAAGTACAAATGCTATGCAACCACAGATGATTCCAATCAGGACTTCTGTGGACATTGCACTTTTTACGGCCAAAACACCTGCATCATTTTCTGCAAAACAGGAATTAAACATTACATATATAAATCACAGTTACTTGAATATCTTTTACATCCTTTCCAACTGAACTGTGAGAACGGATATTCAAATCATTAATTTCTCCTTCTCACTAACTGTTGATAACATCCAGTCTAATCCTTTTTTGAAACGACTAATGAACACAAGGGACCCTGAAATAACCATAAAGCCCATAAAACATTTGGCTTTCCAAGCTTTGGTGATAATTTATTGGCTTCGTTTTTGCATTAAAAAAAGTTTATTTCAAGAGGAAATGAATGTACCTTGGATAGTCAGTAGAGCAGTGACAGACATGATGGTATTCGTAGCATTACACGTGTAGTTTCCCAAGTCTTTTTCCTGCACATCTTYCACCCTCAGCAAAGCTTTCCCTWGACCACTTGACAGTACTTTCCTGTTGGGATCATCTGTTCTTGTCCAAACTACATCAGGCAGTGGATTACCAGTAGCGCTACATGTTACGTTGATTGAAGTTCYCAGAYCAACCGGGAATTTTTCTCCATGTTTTGGGTTTAATATTTTAGGTGAGGCTAAAATTTTGTCAAATAAATACAAACAAGTTTGCTTCATATTGCACCTGCTATTGTCTATCCTACAGGTATTCCTTTTTAAACTTACTGCCTAACGTGCTTATTATTGCACTCCAGGTTCTTCTAGTCTATAGATAGTTTTCTACCTGGGATACTTATTATTGCACTCCAGGTTCTTCTAGTCTGTTAGATAGTTTTCTTCCTGGGGTGCTTTCTATTGCACTCCAGGTTCTTCTAGTCTGTTAGATAGTTTTCTACCTGGGGTGCTTTCTATTGCACTCCAGGTTCTTCCAATTCCTTTCTAATACTCACCCAATACATAAAGTCGGGCCTCTTTTTCATCTCTACCTTCAGTGTTTTCTGCAGTGCACTGATACCATCCAGTRTGTTCATYGTGTTTAGGTTTACAGATCACAAGGTGACTGTTATCATCACGAATCACATAAAAACCTGTTGTTCTGGTTTTGCATTCAGTAGTTGAACTAAGGCCTTTAGAGATTTGTCTTTCTAAACTTCTCCACTCTCCCCCTTGTTTTTTGTTCCAGTTTATGGTGGCTTTTGGGTTTGCTGTGGTTGCTTCACACACAAACTCTACATATCCTGGAAATTGTTCTCTTACTTCTTGTGAAACTAATCCAGTAATATTTGGCTTTACACGAGCTGTAAACACGTGAAAATAAAGGGTTAGTTAGACCTCCAGAAAAAAACTAATGTATGCAACTGTGGCGTGCTCCATTGCTGCTGACAGAGTTTTCAAGGTATGTCATCAGACCCTGCTTTTCCTCGATGCCTGAAAGCTGAAAATTTAGGAATAGAATAGAATAGAATAGAGCAGAGCAGAGCAGAGCAGAGCAGAGCAGAGCAGAGCAGAGCAGAGCAGAGCAGAGCAGAGCAGAGCAGAGCAGAGCAGAGCAGAGTAAATTGCCTCACTAGTTATAAGCCTAAACAATATTGACAAAGTGTTATAATTCATTGTTCTTACCTTGAACAACAACCCTAATGGTGTCATTATAGATTTTCTGAGGTTTCAAAAACTTTGCATCACAGGTATATAGACCAGAATCATTAGTGGTCGTATTGATTATCGTCATTACAACATTAGTATATGTGTCATCAATTCTAACATTAGTGACATTAACTCGTGGGTCTGCCTGCGGAGAGATGAGAGTCTTGYCTCTGTACCATTCAATACCACCATCAAACATTGCACCTTGACTCAATGCAACACACCCTATTCTTATCCGTTCACCAGCTATCAAGACTGGAGGCTTCTTGGGGTCATTGATATCAACTAGTTTGCGTCCTTCATCTGGAAAAAGTCAAGTATCATATCATAAGTAAACGCTGCTCAGAATGTATAAACCAACTCAACATTCCAGGGACGGTTTTGGAAAATACCCTTCACAGGTCCTCAAACCATCCAACTAGTTGAACCTGTGCAAGGCAAAATACTAAAATCAAAGCCTTTGACATTCTTTGGAGACATTATTAGGGTAGCTCCCAGCTACTGACTCTCAATTATCATAGCTGTCACAGGGCTAAATATAATGACTGGCCAAAAGACAATGTTTGGCCAAATTTGGTATGTGACTAGAGAAACACTTCTTAAGCTGGTCCCATGGACTG